AAACTTATGTGGAAGCATCCTCAGGTAGTGTAGATTCAGGTTTGTTCAAATCATGACCCCCGGGGTCAGGGTGGGGCCGCAATGGGCGATCAAAGCTTTACATAGGAAATATACAGGAAAAATCTTTAAAAATCTTCTTCTCAAGAACAGCAAAGCCATAATTGGTCATATTTATATGGTATCATCCTCAGATAGTGTAGATTCAAGTTCCTTCAAATCATGACCCCCGGGGTCGGGTGGGGCCACAATGGGCGATCAAAGTTTTACATAGGAATATATAGGAAAAATCTTCAAAAATCTTCTTCTCAAGAACAGCAAAGCCATGATTGGTCATATTTACTTGGAAGCATCCTCAGGTTGTGTAGATTCAAGTTTGTTCAAACATGACCCCTGGGGGTCGGGTGGGGCCACAATGGATGATCAAAGTTTTACATAGGAATACAGAGGTTGAATCTTTAAAATCTACTCAAGAACAGCAAAGCCATGATTGGTCATATTTAAATGGAAGCATCCTCAGATAATGTAGATTCAAATTTGTTCAATTCATGACCCCCCCCCCCAACCACTTTTATATTTAAACTTTTCAACCTTTCAAGATTGAAGTGATTTCTGCTTTTTCCTAGCCATAGTGCTCAGGTGAGCGATGTGGCCCCAGGGCCTCTTGTTTTTTTTTTTTTTATACCACCTGAATTCTAAAACGGCACGTGCCTACACTGTAGAGTTTACAATTATAATAAATATGAGGTAAAAGCAACTCTCAAAAGCAAATTATCATAACTTTCTGATAAAAGAATATAAAATAATAATCGTAGAGATTTTATTCTGCTTTCAGACGAATTTAACAGAATTAAAAGTACAAATGTTGACGTTTTGTGTATTTGGGTCCGAGAAAGGAAAAACCAGCAAATCATACGTTATCGCGCCAAAATGTCAAACAAACTATTTTTCTGCACATTTAAAAAAATTAGCACTTCAAATGGCAACAATGTTTATAAGTCATAGCTAGATGCATTTTAAAGTTGAGTTTACACTGATTTTTTTTTTTCTTTGAAAGCGATGGAAAAACAAGTATCAACAAACCTGTCGAGTAGAACCTTCGCGAGCCCTGCGTGAGTGTCGCCGAGTTCCTGTTTCTTCCTTATCCAACGATTATATTAATCCCCAAACTAAATTTTAGTCAGGAAAGTTGCTTTTTGAAGCTCTATTTTTTCAGTTTCTTTTTCTTTTTGGTCGACTATGTCAATGTAGCAGGCTCTACCGGGCTAAATTCTCTTACCATGCTGTTTTGTTTATGAAAACTACGCATGCGTGCATAGCATGGAATGTGGAACCCCAAACACGTTGCGATGTATATATTTATGTCCCATAAATAACTATTAATTTTAATGAAATAATCAAAATTATTTAATTGTGAAAGTTGTAAATTTCTGAAAGTTTATACTTTTATGAGTTGTAAAAAAAATTCCAAATCTTGTCGAAAATTTTATCAAGTCAGTTTTTGATGAGATGCGCCGTACTGTCACTTTAAAATGAATGCATCAAAACAGAATTTATTCTATTTGGGAGTAAAAAACAACTAGAAAAATATTCTACAAAAGTGATCAACATTTATGAAAATGAAATCAAGTCAGTAAAATGTATACGATACTTGGGTGCATTTTTAGATGAAAATCTTAATTTTAAAGAACATGTAAATAGGAAATGTCGTACAGCAATGTTAAATTATCTAAGGATCAAAAGCATTCGCAAATATTTAACAAAGGAAGCTACGGAAATTTTGGTTCTATCATTTGATATTTCACATTTAGACTATTGCAAAGTTGTTTTATTCGGTACAGCACAATACGAAATTAATAAAATGCAACGAATTTAAAACATGTGTGCCAAATTGGTTTTAAATCTGAGGAAATTTGAGAGTTCAAAAGAATCTCTATTTGATCTCTATTGGCTACCGATCAAAACTAGAATATCATTCAAAGTTCCGGCATTCATGTATAATTGTTCGGTGGGCCAAACACCAGAATATTTAATTGAACTTCTGTCAAAACAAACTTCAAATCAAAAATGCGCTCTTTCCGAAATTGCGAAAGCTGTTACATAGTCTCATTTAATAAAAGAAAAACTTTCAGCGACAAGAGTTTTAGTACCATCGGACCAGAATTGTGGAATGAACTGCCTTTGTATATTAAACAATCAAAATCTATTGGCGATTTCAAAAACAATTTAAAAAATTACTTCTTTAGGGACTTTGATGCTTTATTTTAATTATTACTCTCCATGTATATTTGTATACATTAATGTAAACATTTTTTTTTACATTTATACTGTACAACGCCATTGAATACCTTTATGTAAAAATAGGCGTTTAATCAAATAAATCAGTTTCAGTTTTAAGAAGTCAATTTAAAAATTTCAAGTAAAGAGTATGAAAAAGCTTGATAAATTCAACACGTTAATACTTGTGAAAGATTCATATAGTTGTCGCATCGTACCATGCACTTATTGATAAAGTCCCTTTTAAAAACACCGACTTTGAAAACTAAAGATAATAATTTTAATATATATGTACCCTTGACATGAGAAATGTAATGCATCTGAAGTTTTTGTCGTCATACTGAAGTTCGATAATGTTAACTTTTATTACAAGAAGAATATTAATGTGAGTATAATTTGTGCGAATAACCACGTGAGCTTAAAAAGTGCGCGGAGCTTTATACGTTTCAATAGGTAACTTGTGCAATAGTTGCCAGATAAAGTGAGAGAATTTTGTAAGATTATGTCACAATATAACAAATGTGTACAAAATTTGTAGAGAATTACATAAGAAAACAACAAAAAATCGTATATCTAACTGTCAAAGAAAACTTACAATCTCTTTATGTTTGGGAGATTTATTATATATATAATTTCTAATCAAAATCATTCAAAAAAACATATTTCAATAAATGCATCAAATTTTTGCTTGTATCATAAATATCATTGAATTGAATTGAAGTTTATCATTTCATTTTCAGGACGGTTTTGATTTTTATATATAGAATATAAACGTATAATTTGCACAAATCAATTCCTTACCAACGCCAATACATTTGTTACGATATAACATGCCCATTTGATTACTTGATTGTCACTGGTATGCATGTAAATCGTTTAAAGGCTCAACTACATAATACAAATTTTATTCATATTTCGTTACATTAATAAAATTATTGTATCCTAATGTACGTGTACGTGAAAATTGCTTGGAACGGGCCAAAGTATTTCACGAGAATTTCAACTTGCCCATACATTTGGGGGTATATCCCATTCTTCTTCATCATTTATATAAAAACGACTATACTTTCATCTTAAGCACGATTTATTGAGATAACATTCTCTTCTGATGATTTTTTTTTTTTTACAAAATCTTTAAAACTATTCCTTATTAATCACTTGTGAGAGCCTGTTTTACAGACACAAATAATTAAGTATTCTACCTGTAACCAAGGTACTATAAACGGGGATGTTTTAAAGTGAAGTTAATGAATATCGTATTGAACTAAAAAAATAATTTCTAGTTTGTTAGGTATGCTAGGGCATGAACGACAGTTAGAAACGTTGGATAATTTGAATAACGGACAATACCCGTTTTGCAAAATTATCCCCCGTTTCCAACTGTCGTTCATGTCCCTGGCCTACACAACATACTAAACAGTGACTCCTTATACTTACAATTATATGTGAAATAACATTGTAAATATAAATTTAAAAAAAATTGTTTCTAATAGATTTCAAACACAGGAAGCCTTCTATGTTAATATCAATAGTCCCTGCCCACTGACGTCAGACCCAAAGACAGCTGCACAAGATTGACATCCTTATTGAGACCTGACCTTCCGCTTGACAAAATTTACATTCAGGTCTAATTATTGAGAATCAACTCACTTAACTTTCAGTGACATTTCAGAGAAATTAATTAGAAATGTAAATATTACACATCATTTCAATAAAGAGAAGCTAAATAAAGTATCGTTGTAAAAATCGACAATAAGTGCACATTCGTAGTCTTAAAAGTACAGTCCATACATGAATTTTACTATAACGCTCTAATTCTTTATATTTAGCTGGAAAGAAGACATGAACTTTATAACACTCTCACCACCCTCTCCCCTGTCATGTTTGCTCAAGCATGCAGCGACTTAACCTCACGTTCCTTTATGACGTCACATAATTATAGATAATTAAGAGAAGTGACTGCATATGATGTAATGTGATATTTTTCGGGAAGCTTTAACTTATCCGCCTAGGGCTCGAAATAAGTTACTCTGAAAAATCTCGCGAAATTTGACATGTTTCCTTCATGTCGTAAAACTTGTAAATATTTTGTCAAACATTTAACTTGTACAGAATAACGAGATCTTTTCTATGATATAATAAAAATAGGTAGCAGATTCTCCAATCAGACACTCAGTGCGACTGAAAATCTTTCACGATCCATATTTTGCTTTTCATTACTCTCGTCTATCGGATCAATACATACGAGTAGTGCTCACGGCGGGTGTGAAAAGTTCTTAAAAAATTCTGAACCAAAAATGTTCGAAACCATTAACACTTTTATTCGATATAAAGGAAAAAAGAATAACCTCTCAAATTTTGGGCTCAGGGGGTTCAAAAATATCTAGTTTATAACTCTTAAACCATAACTATTACACAGTACAATATTTATCTTTGCAGTGAGTCCTATAAATAATCCTATATAAATTTTCGAATCTCTTCATCTGCAGTCCTGGTGATTATCCACCATTTCAATAAATTCAATATTTATCTAATGTTTCCAAGAAAAGAGATTCTCAGATTAACTGAACTGTCATAACGGCTGCTAAGAAATTGTTCAACCTTGTTTTAAAGCTGTGTATAGATTTTAACACTTAAAAAAAAAAAAAGTCGATCTTAAATTACTGAATTATTATGTATTTAACCAAAGTTCTACTTTTTAATATAATGGAAATTTGCTTAAAAAAGCAATTGCAATAAGATATTTGTCAGGAAGGTTTAAGGAAGAACAAAGTTGCCTGCAAATCCGTAGCCATCATTAGAGCGATGACCATAGACAATTAGAGCAAATTTTGAATCATCAGTTGTTGTTACAATGTAAGTGCCCTTTTGAACTTCAAAGGTACGAATGTTGAACGTTGTCTTCAGGAGTGCATAATTCTGATACACTCGAGTAAAGTTATCAGCAGTGATGCCGTTTATTCGCAGGTAATTCGTGGATTTTATTGGAAGGATCACTGAAATAAAGTTTTCCTTGTATCCATCAGGTATAGTGATCTTGTAGTAGTCGACAAATTGATTAACACCGGGTATGACTGTCATGTAACAATCATATGTATGGGATCCCATTGCAAAACCAGTAACTAAAATCGGTTTTTCGGAAACTAAAACCGTTGTTTCGTTTGAAGCCACTGTCAGGTTCTTAAATTCCTTTCGATTCAAACGAAACCTTGACAGCTTGTTACCAGTGCTATGTTTAACAAAAGTCATATTTTCACTTATAACCTGAATCAATGTCCTAGCATTGTTATAAAACGGAGGAACTATATACTGATAATCTAATTCATTGGTCGGTGGCAACTGTGTTAACATATGATCGCACCCAGCCCGCGAATCTAATTTCTGACATCGATTCCCAGAAAATACTGGTATCCCTTTTGTAGAGGTGATAAATGTTCCACTAAGATCTGTGGTATGACGAATTTGAAATGTTTCAAGTCTTTGTAAATTTATTGAGAAAACATCACCATTTCCATACGTTCTTCCAAAAAGATTAACTCGAGAGTTATCATTCATTTTAAAGAAAACATTTACGGTGGTTTCGTCATACAGAGCTCCAAAGGCAAACTGACTAAAATCCCACTGTGTATCCCATGGCTCAGTTGAAGACACAATATATTTGGTGGAAAGCTTATTCGTTGGAATTATCAGTGTCTCATCGTTTGTATCATGAAAAAGGCTGTCAAATATAGTAACCGTTGATAGTTCTGATGTCTGTAAGATAAGCCCTTTGGGTTCAATCTCCATATATCCACAAGTCAGATCATGAGGAAGAGTGACCATGGAACTAGAAGCAATATTTATTGTCCTGTCAACTGATGATTTAATGTTTGCATTGAGGTTCTGAGAACTTCTTATCTCGACCTCTGTTTCTTTGTCTGTTGTGATATAAATCGTTAAGTCTCCTGTGGGTTTGTAATTGCGCATGAATAATATCAGGAACTTGGTCCCTCTGCTACCTGTAATATAAAATAATTGCCTAAAATGTACCGAGATATTGAAAAGGTAAACAGTTTATGGAAAGATTCTTTCATAACTTAATACATGCTCAAAAACATTCGGTATTAGATTGTAACTATCAAGAAGTTTACTGTATCATTCAGCATATTCAATGAATGCGAACATTAAATTTACCCATCTGTAGTGCATCTGTGGTTTATAAACATGTGGAAAAAAGTAATGGGGCTTATTCGAAGCCTTGTCATGTTAAGGTTAGCGTGCCACAACCTTACACGCCAGGGTGTAAACTTTACATAATTCAAAGCACTATAGCAGTAAACTGATTTTTCAAAATGTACGTTCAGAAAATAAACAATTTTTGCAAAGTATCGTTTCCCTGTAATTCATATACAGTGTATATATAATCTTATATAGATTAAATTGTAAGTACCCGACTCTTGCTCTATCATCTTGATCATGTGTATTCACGATGTAGTAAAACATGTATATTAATGAAAAGAGCACAGTCGAAAACATTTGCTCTGAACGGCGCTATTTTACAGGTGTTTTTTTTTTTAGTTTATAAATTGATAAGTATAACTTTTCTATGATAAGTCAAACATCAAAGATCGGTTTTAAGCTGAAAAAAAAAATGATAATATATGTAGACATTTATGATTGCTATCGAGCAAAAAGTACACTGTATCCATATGTTTTTTTAAAGAAACATTACTTTTTTAATGTTATATAAATGAGTAAATTGAAGAAACTTTTTTATCAAAATTAAAAGCAGCAGATAGAACATTGAAAAAAAGAGGATCATGAACCACAACTCATTTAAGTAACTTTATAGTCCTGCTGTTCTTCAGAAGATTTTTTAAAGATTTTTATATCCCCTTGAAAAATCGCGACAACATATTATGTCCTACCTTACCTCTAAGAGGTTTCTAAATCCACAAAGTATGAGGATGATTCTATATTAATATGCCTAACATGGCTTTTCAGATATGAAACAAGATGTGTTTGTGAAACACTGATGCCCCCGTATGGCAGCTTATGGCGAAGGTTAAAGTTTCTTCAAATGCAAGTCAAAATCCAGGCCAAAAGATAAAAAATGTTGATACCCAAAGGAAGGTCTTGTCTCGAGGAATACACCTGTGAAATTTGAAAGACCTAGATACAACTGTTCAAAAGTAATGGCGAAGGTTAATTTTTTTTAAATAAAAGTCAAACGTCAAGGTCAAGGTCAAAGTGGTTGGTATCCAAAGGAAGATCTTGTCACAAGGATTACATATGTGAAGAATGAAAGCCCTAGCACCAACCATTTAAAAGTTATGGCCAAGGTTAAAGTTTTTCAAAAGTAGGTCAAACTCCTAGGTCAAGGTCAAAGGGTCAAAGTGGTTGGTATCCAAAGGAAGGTTTTGTCACAAGGATTACATATGTGAAGTATGAAAGCCTTAGCATCAACCATTCAAAAGTTATGGCCAAGTTTAAAGTTTTTCAAAAGTAGGTCAAACTCCTAGGTAAAGGTCAAAAGGTCAAAGTGGTGGTTGGTATCCAAAGGAAGGTCATGTCACAAGGATTACGTATGTGAAGTATGAAAGCCCTAGTTCCAACCATTCAAAAGTTATGGCCAAGGTTAAAGTTTTTCAAAAGTAGGTCAAACTGCTAGGTCAAGGTTAAAGGGACAAAGTGGTTGATATCCAGAGGAAGGTCTTGTCAAAAGGAATACACATGTGAAGTTTGAAACCCTAAGCACCAACTGTTCAAAAGTGATGGCCAAGGTTAAAGTTTTTCAAAAGTAGGTCAAACTCCAAGGTCAAGGTCAAAAGGTCAAAGTTGTTGGTATCCAAAGGAAGGCCTTGTCACAAAGAATACACATGTGAAGTTTGAAACCCCAAGCACCAACTGTTCAGAAGTTATGGCCAAGGTTAAAGTCTCATAAAATTTTGCAAAAGTGGGTCAAACTCCAAGGTCAAGGTCAAAAGGTCAGTTATGATGGTACCCAAAGAAAGGTCTTGTCACAAGGAATACACATGTGAAATATGAAAGTCATAGCTCCAACCAATCAAAATTTGTGGGCAAGGTTAAAGTTGACAACAGACAGACAGACAAACAGACAAACGGACAAACAGACAAACAGGACAAAAACAATATACCCCCGGGATCTTTCGATCCGGGGGCATAAAAAAAATTCTTTTTCTGTACACATGTTTAATCTAAATTTGATTAAAGGTTTCTTAAAGAAAAATCCGTATGTTATTCAAAACGGCACTTTTATCTCCTAAAATGGTTGTCCCCATGCTAACCACAGGGTTTTAGAGTCTACCTCAGGAAGCTCCCACATTAGTTTCTTCATTATGAGTTTAGGGTTCTTGCGAAGATGTTTCTAATATATTTCAATGTAAAACTTCCATCCCCTACTATGGCCCACCTCCAACCCAAGGGGTTACGACTTTTACAATTTAGAATCTACACTTCCTCTGAAGCATTTCACATAAATTTCTAGCCCAGTGTTTTGTAAGAAGTAAAAATTTAATAATTTTTCTGATATACTTCGGATTAAAATGTCATTCCCTTTTGAAGCCTCGCTTTACCCCCGGGGGTGGTGAGGATGGGGGGGGGGGTGATTTTACCTATGTTTTACGTTTTCTGGCCCGGTGGATCTAGCTAGAGAAGATGTTTTAATTACTCTACCTTCTCCTTGCCTTTTCTTGATTATATCCCCTTAGAAGCTGGCTTGACTATTCATTTGATTAATTTAGAATTCCTTTTACCCAAGAACGCTTTGGCTTAAATTACCCAGAGGTTCTGGAGAAGATGTTAAAAATGTTAAAATTTAACAGACGGATGTACAGACAGACGCACAGAAAGAACGCCGGACAACGGGTGATTAGAAAGCTTTCGGCTTAGGTGAGCTTTAAAGTAAAGATGATTTAAAACTTGGAAATGAGATTTAAAAAATTGAATGAAATTAAATTGATGGACTTCTACGTGAAAAAACTAAAAAGTATATAATGGTTTTAAGTCAATCTAAATAATGATTACATATATAGTAAAAATAAATATAATAATTATTAACAAGTTGATACCCCCTTGTTTTCATTTGTCCGTTCTAGTCGGTATGGCAATTAAATCTTATTCAATGGATTAATAAATGCATTCTTGACAAATGAACTATGTTCAGCCTCTCTCAGCTATCACGCAGTTTGCGTCAGGTGTGAGCCAATTTACTCTTAAGTTTGCCCTAAGAATCATAAGCAGGTATGGCATCATATGCATCTTTCTATTTCATCCGACATTGTTTAGAAGAGAAGGTAAAAACGATTATTCTGTACATGAAATTTTCTAAGTAAAAGCCTTTTTTTCAGCTTTCCTATTGATGTGCATCATTAAACCGCGTTCATTAGTTTAATAGCATGGTTTTGGACAGACAAGTCCACTGCTGATGAAAAATAGGATTAGGAGAAAGTGCATATCGTTCGTTTTTCTCGGAAATACGTGTTATATGTTAACTTTTTTTTTTATTGAATCAATGCGATGATGGATTAATTTTTTTTAAGTTGTTGAATGATTCAGCTCCCATGAGTACATTCTGTACTTTGATACTAACGTATTCAGAAAGCATACCGATCTATAATTTCATGCAAATGGTAAAGAAGTTCGTTTTTAGAGTCTGTAGGTTTTAATTATTTTTTGAATAGGTTCGCAAATACTCAACTGAAAGGTGCATTTCTACATACCTGTAGATGTTTTAACCTTGGTACTTGCTGTTGTTTGGATTTTTGTCTTCATTGTTGTAGTAGTCATTATTGATAAGGTTCCATTGCCTCCTTATTAAGAAAAATAGCAATAAAAGTAACAAATTCTTATACACACAGACGGCGTCTCTTCACCAAGACCTCCTCAAGACAAGCAAAAATGTTTACACAATATTAAAAATAAAGTCAATGCCCTATAATTAACTTTTTTCAAAGCAATTGGGTGAATTATAAAGATATAAAACAATGTTCGTGCAAACGTTTATTTAAACAATATATTTTTGGGGTAGAGCCAACAAGGACCCCTAAAAACAGAGTTGGGTTCAAATACCGAGGAGGAGTGAGCATCACCTGTATGCCAGGCACACATTCTACTAAATTAATGTCATTCAATATATCTTTTTTTTTAAATAAAAGTATTGGTTATGCTAATTGTAATGAACACATTCGCTTGGCTCGTGATGTAATGAAAAATGAAAAATAAAATCCAGGACAATTGTTATTCAATGCATGTATTTTAAATTAATTGACCCAGTGTCTGTTCTTGGCACATCATAATGAAAAGGTAACCTGATGTTCCATATCGTATTACTTTCAAATCAGCTTAATTTCCGTCGGAATATTTTTTTCCCTTTAAGATGTAAAATGAAGACACATATATTTGATTGTCTACGTCAATTCTAAGCAGGTTTTTTCTTCATGTAACTTTCGCACCAACGTCAAACGTCAAACTTTTTTTTCAGAGTGAACACGAGAATGAAGGTGTAAACAATCAAAGAGTTTGATGCTAGTAACCAGAGGCCATGCGTCTGTATAAATTATCTACAAGGATTTAAAGTAAAGAATTATTCAAAAGGTTCAACATGAATTTCTAAGTGTAAAGGGTTTGAGGACGGATAATGTCAATTTAAATTTAGAGCAACATTAAAAGTCATTAATACAAATTTTGAACAAAAAATAAAATATGCAGGGCAGGTACGGGGTTATAAATACGGCGCAGATAGAGACAGCAAACCAGTGGTCAGTTGGATTGTGTCTCTTTCTGGTTGTATTTATACAGGTAAGATAATTTTCTAGACTTGCGTGCTTATTGTAAAATGGGTGAAATTTTCTGATTTCTCTATTTATTTACAGGTTAATATATACATTTTAATTTAATAGTAATGTTTGTTATAATGTTTATTATATTGTGTATATTTTGTAATTGTTAATATCAAAAATGGATTGTTAATTTAATAAAGAGTGGTCAGCTGGCTTGT